TTGGGTCTGAATAGGAAGTTGATTGAGTTGGCACATCCTTGCAACTTGAGATGGGATTCTTTCCTTTGAAATGCTTCCCTGTCCTTGTAATGTATTTTAAATATTCAAACACAGACAGGAGACCAAGACAGAGCCACATATTCATGTTACATTACATGGTGTGGGGCCTGACGATTACACATGAAATTTTCTCATATTATAGTGATTTTAAAGAGATTTTTGAAGCAACAGTACTTAGTGCTGACTATAAAGTTCGAAGTTTGGATGAAGGAAATAAATTTGGGATTTTGCACGAAATTAAAATTTCTAAATTGATGACATGAACCAATTCCCATGTTTGGATTAAAAAATCAAAGAAATCTAGAAATTCTATGTAAGCAAAAGCATAGAATTTGGAGGTCATAAATCTCAACTTTAAATTCTACCAAAAGTAGTCATTATTTCTAAAATTTGAGAATGACATGCCTTTTTTTTTTTTGGTCGAATTGAGAATATCATACTTCAAAGCTATTTGGTTAATTGAAATTATCTTCGAGTACCATAAGAGAAGGAAGAAAAGATGGAAGCTAGAGAGTAGCTGCCAAGATACAAATAACAAATTTACTCATCATTGACTTAATTTGCTTGCTTTTTTTGCTTCCTTGTGGAAAAAAGGGAAAGTGAAGAAGAAATTTCCCTTTCATTTCATTTAGTGATACAGTAGTGCACATAGACTAGAAAACAAAGAAAGGGATGCCATTTAGTTTAGTGATACAGTTCTTCTTTGGTCTATACAATTAACCTCATGAATAAACCTCTCATCAGTTTTCTCCATCCTATTGATATTGATCATCATCACCCTCTACTTGTGCTCAGACATCCTGCTAAAACTCCCTTATTGATGGGAATTGCTTGGCAAGTTCATTTCTTTGAGAATATCACGCGGGCAATATCATTCAGATCAATTACTTGTATAATTTAAGCCCTATAGTTTTGGCAATTTGTCACTCTTGTCTTGTGTGATTTTCGTTTCGTGGGCTTGGAGCCTTAGACTCTGTTCGCTTGTTTTTGCTTGGTTCTTCCAACTTTGGGCTGTCTTGTTTCTCAGCCATATATTTGGGCTTTTTTATGGAGCTTTTCAGGACCAAAAATAAGAAAAAATAAGTTATTCCAAATTCTCTCCTTGAAAGGAAATCTAAAAGTCATCAAAATCAAACCACTGTAAATCTCTGAAATTTGGTATGAATTGGTGATATGATATGATCAGCTACTAGAATTGGATTATGCTTACCGAAAATGTTAATTAATTTGTTTAGTAATTTATAATGTTATTTATTTGGTCCCTGAACTTAGACCCGATTTGCATTTGAGTTCCTCAATTTCCAAAATTGTTCCCGTGTCCTTCAACTTCAGTTTCATTAGGACAAATGGTCCTACCGTCAATTTTGTTAACTTTTCTGTTTAATGCAGGGGCAAAATGATATTTTTATATTAAATTGATTAAAATATGAATTAAAAAATTAAAAAACTAAAAAAAATAAAATTAAACTCTCTCTCCCCCTCTATCCCGATTTCAACTTCCCCAAAACTTGATTTTTTTTTTAATTTGATTTTCAATTTTTGTTTTTCTAAAAATTAAAGGATTTTTGGAAAAAAAACAATAGAATACACATGGCAACATTCATTAATTGACATGGCAAAATACATCAGCTGCCACATAAGGTGGTCAGCTAAGGTGGTCAATATTGTGTGTCTAAATAGCATTACTGTTATTGTAATAAGTTGCTATAAATTGTGGGTTAAATACCTCTATTGTATGCCTATAAATAGGCGCTTATCAAAGATGAATAAGAGAAGTTGATACAAGGTCATATAACAAATTCTCTGTATTTCTCTTTTTTTTATTGCTCTCTACAATTCCCCCTAGTTTTATAACACGTTATCAGCGCGATATTGCTCTTGGTATGTTTTCTTTCTCTGATTTCCCCATTTTCTTTTATGAGCTAGAGTCATCACATGGTATAGAGTTTCTTTGTACTCACCATCAGACTTCATCATGCTCATTTACTCCATTGGAATAATTCTTTTCTATCATCGAATTACTTTTATTCCGAAGCCTCCACGTTGCCGTTTGTATTAACACTCTTTTTTTTTCTCCATATTTTTTAATTTTTTTTAAGGCAATAATATAGTAAAACTATATGTAACTAGGCATCTCCAAGCAACAAAGTAAGAGTAAAAAGTTCAACGCCATACTGAAGACAAAGTTCATATATTAATGCACAATGTTTTCCATGAAATACATTACAATCTTTCTCAACATGTTTTCATGTTTTGAACGTAGCGTTATAGCTTCATTGTCAATTTGGAAGAAACCCCTAATCTTTAAAGAATATATAACAAAATCAACTTTCCAACGTGAAAGTCGATATCCTTCTCATTTTCTTAGTTAAAACTCTAGTCTGAAATTTCAAACAATGGCTCCAGTTGCTGCTGCTCAAACCGTGAGGGCAAAGATCGAAAGTAACAAGCATCAAATCACTTGCTGAATCATCAGCCCTCAACTCTGTTCCTTCTGCATATGCCATAAACATAAACCATCTATTATATATGCTAACTCAACTTTCCTTTACATTGATTATTATAATGGTTCTTAACTTCTTATGATCAGTAAAATTTTCTACTACAATCACGAATTATGTATGCCAGCTAAGGGTAGAATGCATGCCTTTTCATTTGGTTTGAATGGGTTATAAAAATCCATTTCCCACTACATAATTGTGGTTTCTCGAAAGGTCAAGCTCTCTTTGAGCGGCTTGAATGATAAGGTCAAAAGGAAGTAACTAACCCAGATGAAGAACATTCGAAGACATTGACAGAGATGCTTGTTTAGAGTTTATTCTGAAGTGAACTACATGTCATTTTATGAAATATATAATAATAAAAGCATTCTTCCTTTTATTTTATTTTTAAAAAATCAAATAATATTATTCAAGTATAAAGGCACGAAGCTTAGCTGCATTGTAATTTGTAAATTGTATTTATCTCGGCATAGTAATTATTGTAACCATTCAGACAATGATTAAGATTGAACATAATTACAAATTACATAGGTTGGATTCTATTTCAAATTTTCATAAGTCAACGAGAGGTTGCTATTTGTATTTATTAAAAAAAGAAAAAGAAATCCAGAGGTATTTGATATGTTTCGGTTGTGCACCTCTAATTAATTTGGTACAAAATTTTGAAATGTGTTAGCTATGTCATGTGTCTGGTGGATGCATATGATTTATATGATATTTGTCCAAGAGCGGAATTAGAATTTGTCAGCGGGGGGCTAGCTAAAGTTATTAGCTTAAAATCCAATGATCTTTTTTTATTTTATTTTTTATTATACTTATAATTTCTATAGGCTTTATATAAATAAAAGTATAAATTAGTATAAATCACACTAGTTATAAACACAAGAAAAAAAATGAAATTAGTGCCATATTATTCACAAAAGGAAGAATTTAATTTAAAAAAATGGTTCTCGTTTGGAGATAAATCAATGAAAAAAATAAAATTGGAGGGTTAGAGCTAAGGACTTTACCCTTATTGTGGGTTATTGGTATTGGGACAGTCTTTGACACCATATACAAACGTCAAAAACCTCTGACTATGGCTATTGGTGTTGCCAATGTATAAAATTGTGTATTTTTATTTATTTTTAGATTAAGATACTGACTTATATAGGTTTCATTTTTTTTTTCCCACCAAAAAATCATTGGACTACAGCCCACTGGAGCCCACATTGTGATTCCACCCTTTGTCGTTGGGAGCACAATATTTCTATTTGATTATGTTTAGTTGCAAGTCTTAAATTTTTTTGCTGAAGAAAATTTGAGAATTTAAATAATTTTTGGGGCGTTTGTTTGGGTAGGAGTGAATTTGAATTTGGGCTCCTGACTCCAAATCCATTTGTTTCGGTCTGTATTAATAGCCCAGATTTGAATTCGGGCTAAAACTCCAGACCCTAAATTTAAGGACAGGCCCACCGTCCAATCAATGAGATTGATGTTATTATTGGTCGGGTTGGATTCAATCCCAAAACATAACCCAACTGAAATGTTTTTCATGTCAGTGCTTATTCATACTTTACATCGGAAATAACCTTTTTTTTTGTTATAAATTTTAATAAATAAATAGAAAAAGTGATTCTAGAGCTTAAAATTATACTTGGGCCATCTTCAGTAGTTGAGGGCTGAACATAGCCCACCCATAAAATTTAATCAACAATAGTTTTTTTTTACCATCTCCTTAAATCTTAGCTCTCTTAATATTTTATTAATTTTTAGTATATTCTTTACATATATTGGTTAATTCAATTAAAGTACTACTTAGACCCTAATATTTTCGTATAGCATTTGTGACATCCACGTGTTGGCATGTGAAAGGAAGGATGAAAAGAATGTAGAACTGAGAATATGTAAATTTTATTATTAATTGTTGGCATCATGCTCTCCGGCTATAAAAATCCATTTCCTGCAACTACATACAACTACTATTACAGAGCCATTTGATTGAAGGGAAGACATGTCTCCGAAGATGCTGGATAAAAAAATAAATTGCAAAAAAAAAAAGTACATTCAATGAAAGAAAGACAATAGGAGGATAAAACAAAAAGAAACCGAAGGCAGTTGGAAAGGAAAAACGACAACAGGAAGCACAACAATTAGAAAAGATCAAATTAGAGATCAGTAACTATGACAACTCCATAAGGGGAGCTCGTCCGCCTCCAGCACGGACGCACTAGCAACCCGGGGAGCAAGGAAGGCCGTCAGCTTGTAACACAAAGACCAGAGAGGAAGGGGAGCTGGAAGAACAAACCTCAACGCACATCCTCCTCCTCTCGCTGAGCTACAGCATGAATATAACAAATTAGAAAAACCAAATTAATCATGCATGTTGATTAAGTCAATAAAATAATAATAAACAATGAGAGAGAGAAAGAGAGATTACTTACCGTTAATCTTTAGTAATTAAGCATCCTTCAATTGCCGCTTCAACAAAGCTATCCTCACAAAAAGCCAATCATTTAAACCATTCAAGAACTTCAAGTATGTGTACCTCCATGACCTTGAAAATATCAAGGTGCCGCAAACTCCCCAAAATCCAGCAGCAAATCCAAGCCCCATACTAATGTAGAATCCCGGTGTTATTAGCTCATCTTTGTCCTCTTGGTTGATGAAGTCAGTTTGCTCACTTGGACCTTTTTCCACTTCATCAGCACACATCTTTTTAAGTGGAGGTCCACAGAGTTGAAGATTCCCAGCAAAAAAAGAGGGATCAAAGCCTTGGAGCTGAGTCCCGACTGGAATTTTGCCAGACAAGTTGTTATATGACAAGTCCAAGAAACCAAGACGATCTATCCCATTAAGGCTTGTTGGAATTCTTCCGTATATATGGTTTCTTGACAAATCAAGAGAATCCAGTGATTGCAACTTTCCGATCTCTGGAGTTATTTCACCTGTTAATTGGTTTCTCGATAGGTTTAAAGAAACCAACCCAACAAGATGAGTGATTTCACTTGGAATCTCCCCTGTTAATTTATTGCTTGACAGATCAATTCTCTTCACAGGCCCCAAAGTACTTTTGTATGTCCGCATTCCTCCTTTCCACATGAAGGTTGCATCATTGTCATAATCATACAAATATGAATGTTGATTAGTAGAAATGTTATACAAATGTGTGCTTGTTAGACTTGAATGTCCTTTCTGAGACAGAGCAGTCAAATTGTTGAGGCATGAAGGTATTCTTCCAGAGATGTTGTTCATAGAGAAATCCAAATTTTTAATTCGTATTAGATGGCATAATTGTGAGGGCAGGCTTCCATTCAAGTGATTAGAGGAAAGCATCAAGATAACCAAATTCTTTAAGCTAACCCCTAACCATTCAGGTATTGGTCCGGATAATTTATTATCCCCAACATCAACGACTTCTAACCTTGTGCAATTTGTCAACGACGAAGGCAATTGTCCCACAAATCTATTGCTTCTTAATTTGAGTGTTTCAATCCGAAATACATAGCCTATTGTTGTAGGAATTTTCCCAGACAAAGCATTGTAACTCAAATCAAGCAGGACTAAATTCTCCAAATGTGTCAAGCAATCTGGAACTTGTCCAGAAAAATTGTTTCTTGAGAGGTCAAGAAAGCCTAAAGAAATAGCTGCACTTGAACACAAGAATGAAATTGACCCTGAAAGTTTATTATAAGAGAGATCCAGATATGAGGCTTTTGATAGAATTGAGGGGATTGGACCTTCCAACTTGTTCGAACTTAGATCTAGTATAGGGAAATATGAAAATTCCACTATCAAATTTGCAAATGTACCTCTAATTTGGTTGCTTGTGAGATTCATAAATTTCACATTACGACATAAACTCCAAAACCAACTTGGAAAGATGTCGGAAATTCCAGCATTAGAAATATCAAGGTATGAGAAATCCTTTTGAGTTTGAAGCCACTTTGGGAAATCCGGACCCATCTTGCAAGACCCTAAACCTATGTAGTTCAGTTGGAAAGGAGGAATCCAATTAGCATGGATGTCTAAAACTAGCGAGTTAGAAGATAAATCCAAATGCTGTAATTTGGAGAGTTTTGAGAAATGAGTTTCTGAAATTACTCTGCTTAATTGATTGTTATTAAGACGCAAGAGTTCCAAAGATGAAAAGTTTGTAAGATCGGGTAAAGACCCTGCAAGATCATTCTCAGAGAGATACAACTCCTCCAATGAGTTTTGAGCACATGTAGAGAATAATATTTGAACAAACTTTGAAAGTTGTCCACTCAGATTATTCCTTGAGAGATACAATGATTGCAAACTACATAACCTGGCAAAAGAATGCGAGTCCCCTCCTTCAAGTTGGTTATCAGTGAGATATAGATGTGCCAGAGAGCTCATGTTTCCAAAAACATCAGGAATTGAACCGGCTAGAAGGTTATAAGAGAGGGAAAGATGAACAAGGCTAGTATTATAGTTGGACAACCAGAGGAATATTGAAGAAGTACTCAAATGGTTTGAAGATAGGTCAACGCTAGCAAGAGATTTAGAAGAGTTTATGTAAGAAAGAGTGGAAAGAATTGGAGAAGGGAGATCACAATACGCTAATGTCAATTTTGTTAGTTCAGGAAGCTTATTAACGGCTTCTGGCCAATCGACAACATTGCTGAGATTCGTGAAACTCAAGTCTAAATATCTTAATGACGAAAGAAGAGGAAGCCAATTGAGATATTCAGCATTTGTAAAGTCATTACCACTTAAGTCGAGATACACCAAGTTCGTAAGATTTCCGACCTGACTTGGAAACTTGCTACCAAAATAAGTCCAAGACAGATCAAGGTATCTTAAATTGGATAGAGAACCAATGATATGTGGAATTTGGCTCCCATTGAAATTAATCCCATGAAGGTCCAAATGTTTTAAATGGTGCAACTCAATCAGTTTAGGACTAATCATCTTACCTTGAAAATTGTCAAATTCGTTTGAAAGATCAAGTTGAAGAACATGGCCAGTTTGGTTGCTACAAGAGACTCCCACCCATCTGCAACAATCTTGTTTCTGGGCTTCTGAACCCCATGAAGAGAGTAAATCGGACTTATCCACCAGGCCACGTTTGAATGCAAGGAGTGCTTGCCTTTCCCTCTCTATGCATCTTATGGTCACGTTAGTATCCCTCTGACTTTTGTCCACCTCTCCTCCTTGGGTGTACTGTAGCAAAAGCAGAGCAAATGCAAGAAAGAGTTTCAAGCACCTTCCGTGACCCTGCATGTTAATAGATTCAAATGCCAATGGAATATATGTCGAATAGGCACAACTGTTTAGGGTTTATGAAAATGGAATATAATATAATGTCGAAGATGGAGCACTTGCACATGCAAACACTGCAAGTATATTCATATATGGTTGGCTCCGTTATTCTCCATATACATAGTTGAAAAGCAAGGTGTAAGCTAAAACAGAGCAACATGTTCATACAAGACAAAACCATAAGAAGGAGTCCATCAAATACAGAATATTGATTGGGTTATAGTCTATGCATAAAGTTAGGCAAAATTAAGAAAGTAATGAGAAAGTGATGAGTTGGCGGGTGTGACTAAAGGCTACCCTTTGTTTCAATATCATTAGACAAGCCCCTATATTTCAATATCATTTCTATTTTATATTGGAGAGAAGCTTTGAAGGTGCGGTAAATGGAACCCAACTTTGTTTTATTTTATATTGGAGCAAATTCTTGACAAATAAGTTTCAAATTATTAGATAGTACCTACTAGAATGCCGGCCAATTCTTAACAAATAAGTTTGCTATTTTTCTCTATTGACTTACATTTTTAAAAACTCGAACTGACTTGCAGGTATTGACTCGGCTTTGCTTCACTGAGATGATCAAGATAGAGATGTGGGGGGATAATCCGACCGATCCAGCTGCCGTCCTCAATTAACTTGACACAATAATTGAATGGATCTTGGAATTATTTATTTGGCAGTTGGCCACCATATTAATTTACTTAGTTTCGGCATAAAGATAGATTCCTAGCTAGCTTATTCATGGTTTCTTATTGGTATTAATAATAAATGTGGTTGCCATTGGTTATGCTTAGTTAGGGGGTGTATTCAATTGAGATTTTAAAAGACTATTTATGGATAAATAAGTCCAGTGGATTTTAAAAGACTATTTAAGAATGTAATGACTTATAAGATTTTTTTGAAAGATTTTTTATACTCAGGATTTTTTATGTTTGGATTTTAAAGATTTATATCATAAGAATTTATAAGATTTGAAAGGACCACATGGATTTTTTATTTGTACGATAACCAACCAACTTAGTTGTGGGCACTTGCATCAGCAATAACATAAACGGGATCAAATCGAATGGAACAATAAATAAAAGCAAACATTCGAAGTTACAAGAGTCAATGAAAAAGATAACAAAGAAACACAATTTTAACAAAGAAAAGTAAAATTCAATAAAGTTTTCCCAATCTTTTAATAGCCAATTTGATGTAGCTTCATGTCCTCCTAAGTAGCATTTCTCCACATATCTAAAGCTATGGTAGCTCTCCATGCATTAGCATTTTCTCGTTGCTGCTCTTCGGTTTGAACAATAGGTTCCAAATTCTCTTCTTCATTAACTGGTAATACTGAAGATGAAGAAGATTCGTCCACTGGTTCAATTGGAAATTCATCAGAACGACACTCTTTGCGAAGAAAGTTATGTAGTGCTACACATGCTAACACAAGCTCTACTTGTGTCTTAAATGGAAATGGAGGCGCTGACTTAAAAATTGTGAACCGTGATTTAAAAATGCCAAATATCCTCTCGATCACATTCCTCAATGACGCATGGCGAAGATTGAACAATTCATTTTCATTTTAAGGGTCATTACCATGACCTGCAAAATCTTGGAGATGATATCGCACACCTCGAAATGGAGCTAAAAATTGGCGCCGATTAGGAAATCCACAATCCACTAGGAAATATTTACCTAATTATATATACAATACATATAAAATTAGTATGCAAAGTTTAAAAAATATATATTTATCATTTAAAATAAGTACTTACCTTGGGGCACTTTAAGTCCATTCCTCCTTGATAAAGCATCATTTAGTAGCTTTGAATCATGAGCTGAACCCTCCCACCCGCTAAGAACGTATATGAATTCTAAATCAAAGTTACAAGTAGCTAATACATTTTGTGATATCTTTCCATGACGATTACGATAACTGCTTACATCTCGTCCCCTCACTATTGCCGGAATATGTGTACCATCAATAGCTCCAATGCAATCCTAAAATTATTCATACATCACAATAACCATATTATGACAAATATATATTATAATAACAATATTATTATAATTAGATAATTATCACATACCTAGAAATAAGGGTAAAATCTTGTGCTTTCCCTTATTTTAGATGGCACAGCCGGTCCTGGTTTAGCCATCCAATCAGATGCTATTGAATTCAAGGCCTTCAAAATCTTGTGAAAATTTTCACTTGCAGTGAATTGTGATCGACCAAATGTATTACGAATGACACAATATCGAGTATTTTGGCCGACGATTTGTAGGAATGATGCAAGCAATTCTTCAACGCAAATAAATCTTGTATCCTCCAAAAGTGTTTTTTCTCTAAGAATTGTGCATAACTTCCGGAATACATATGGATACATTCTATATACTTGTCGGAAGATTGCAGGATCATCGTTCAATGCTTGATGTATATAGTCATATCCACTGCTAGTAATTCGCCGTCGAGTTAATGGACGTTCAATATATTCACCACGCATTATATTCAGAAACTGATTTAGCACATGCATTACTGCATAAATTGCCATCACTGAATTGTAAATGGCTTCATAAAATTCTTCATCTATTTCTTCATCATCTATATCTTCGTCATCAATTTCTTCTTCTTCTACGTCATTACCTTCATATATGTTCGGTTGTGACATTATGCGTATATAAAAAAATATACTAAACTGCAAAACAATAAAAAGAAGAAAATAATACATATTACAATATAATAATTGCATAAAAAAAGTGAAAGCAAAGAAGGAAGAATCCGAAAATTAGGAAGGACAAAAAAATATGTATATGGAGGCAATTCTGCTGAGCACAATATAAACAGGAAGGACAAAACAATATGTATGGGGCCATGACACAATAAAGTGGGATCAAAATAGGAAGGATCCGAAAATCAACAAAGGCAATAAGGCCATGACAAATAATTAATCCAAACCATCTAATGGTCCAAATGCTAGTTTTGAATAACAAAATATCGTATTCAAGTTTCACTGGAAGGCTATCCTATCAGGTAATAGGTTAGAAGAATAAAGAAAGAGGCAGTATGGTATAGCTAGAAGACAAATGGAAGTGGGGCAGAGTTCAAACTCTGTACCATAGCCAAATGGAGGCAATTTATTGTATTTGAAGCTGCTGCAAAACATGTAACAATAACAATTTATTGTATTTGAAGCTGCTGGCAATTTATTGTGACAATATAACAATATGTATGTGAAGCTGCTGTCAAAATAGTTTAACCAAATAAAAAAGTTCAACCAAATTATAATCCAAAATAGTTCAACCAAGTTATAATCCAAATAGTCCAACTAAAGTAGAAGCAAAATAGCACAAACTAAAATATAGTTCAACAAAACTCAAGATGGTCAAAATACTAAAATCATCCTAACTTGAATTTTATCCAAGATGAGCGCTTTTCCAATGACATCTTCAAGAACAAGTCCTTCTTTGCTTTATTACTAAGCAATTCACCTGCCATGTAACGAGTATTGTCATCCAAATTTGGTATCTCTTTTATAGCATCCCAAATATCCCTCTCTCTGTCTCTGTCTCTTTCTTTTTTCTCCATTAGGTTAGATATTTTAACAAAATTGGCAGAAATAGTCTCAATGCCAATAGAAAGATTTTCTAGAACTTTGGCTTGATTGTTGGTATTTATACCTCCCACTAAAAAGTCACACAAATTCCTTTTTTAAAAAAAATCCTTCGAAATTAGTAAGTTTTTGAATACCAAAAGACTTTTTATTACTTGTTTAAAGTCTTGATTGAATACCACTAGATTTGGACACCATCTTTAAAAAATCATAATAGTCCTTATTGAATACCACAAGACTTGTTTAGATTATTTAAAAGTCTTAATTGAATACCACAAGACTCATTTATCCCAAAATAGTCTTTTAAAATCCTAATTGAAGGCTTTAGTTCGCACGTTTGTGTCTGATTATAATGTATGCATGGATATAAATTTTTTTTATTGCTTTGGTAAGAAAATGTTTAAGATAGTTTGACAGGATTTGCATAAGGCTACAAACTATGAGAATGGGATGGTGGACAACAGAAAAGAAAGAAATTTAATTGCTTTCTGCAAATGTTATGATTTAAAACACTCTGCAGAAATATCTGGAGAACACTGCACATGCACATGCAAACACTGCATATGTAATTAGTTGAAAAGCACGGTGTAAGCTAAAACAGAGCAACATATTCATACAATGCAAAACCATAAGGAGGAGTCCGTCAAATGTGAGTCCACAACCATAAGAAAGAATTTCGCGGGAACACAAAACAAACACCATTTACAAAATAGTGTGTGATACTAAGGAAGTGGAACCAATGGAAGAAAAATAATGGAGGGCTGGAACCCAACTTTCCTGTCAATCCAGATCCAGATCCCGAGCAGTTTGTAAGCCATGTTAGAACATGGTGCACATAAGTCTCTCTCGAGCTCCCTACTGTCCTACCATATATGGAATAGTTAGGATTAACCCAACTAATAGATCCATAATCTGTTTCATCATCTTGAGCTCCATAACTAGTTCTACTATAATTAGACATGACATAACCATGGTCATCATAAGATTCATTTGAGTTAGTACTAGGTCTAGTTCCTATACTCATAGATCCAAAACTGTTCCCCATGTCCTCTTCAAATGGTGTGTGATACGAAGGAAGTGGAACCAATGGTAGAAAAATAATGGAGGGCTGGAACCCAACTTCCTGTCAATCAACATAGATCCAGATCCAGACTCAACCAACACAAATAAATTATCTCAATCCCAATGCTTAGATAATTTTTTTGTACTCGTCTGAGTTTGGGTCTACCGTTTACTGTATTCAGATTGATTGAAACTTGGTTTCCAGTCCATTTATTATTATTATTTTTTGAAAAATACTTTGCGTATTTCCCTCGGAAGTAGGAACTCCTACATTCCTACTAATCATAAATTTGACATGTGTGCTAA